GCTATGCCAAAGACTATCAAGAAAAGTATTACACGCATAGCTAGCTATCTGCTTAATGAAGCAATTAGTTAACGAACACAGTAATTAGCCGTATAAGATAACTTGACTAGAAAACTCAACACGATTTTATGCACTGAAAAAACAATATGCAAAGCTTTTTTGGAATTATGAAATTACTTAACCCTAGTAGGTGAAGTATGGTTTGCCGACTATGTTCAAACTGATATCCTGACAAAATCTTTATCAAAGATCTTCTTTTCTTCGCAGGCCTTGAAATAAAACTCAACCACTTAAAATACTTGAAGGCTCTTGCACAACCGTCATGCTTTGCGACTATCATTCCAAAGCGATCTAATATTGTACTGCATAAAAATACAAAATACACAGCTATCGCAAAGCAGGCCGGTTGCACAAAAGCCTTTAAAGTACAGGCATATTATTTGCTTATATTATCGTAGATCTATATGATCAGGATTTACTCATAACATTATATATACATAATAACCTCTACTTTATAAACGTATACAAATTTCTGGCTATTGCTTTCAGCCTATAACATTAAAACCTCCTGAAAATCATAAAGATCTGCAAACTTGATATTTTAACATGATACACATGTTGAAAGTGCAAATTTTAGCTGTATCAGTGCAAAATAACAAGGCATTACACCTGCTATTCACATCTTAATCAGTGCAAAACGTGCCTTTTTCACGACGTACAACACGTTGCATTGGCAGAAGTTTATCAGCTAGGATACCGCATCGAGCTTTGACTTTGCAATAAAAAAACTTTGCAATAATGAATCATAATGAAGAATAATTAATAATGAATCAACCTCAAAGTTGCCCCACGCGGTCAGGAGCATATCTAATGGCTAATTGTGGGCTGTCAATACTGTAACCAGTCCCCTCGGGTAGCTAACTGGCCAAAACTTGAAGACTCATTGCTAACAATGGGCCTTTGCGAGCGTGGCGACGGTCCAAACAATGGCAGTAATTGATTTTAGACAGTCTAAAAATGCATTATGGGATGCTTACGTAGCGCAATGGCTCATTGTTAGCAATGAGTCTTTAACGTACAGTCTACATTATAATTTCTGGTTGGGTCTTCATCGTCTGAATTACCATATCTAGCCAGTGTAAAGCAATTCAGCGGTATACAGAATGAAAAATTATATCTATAAACACAGTTACCATTGTTAATACTCTTATATATACATTAAGATAAATAGCTTTCCAAAGATAGCAAAAGATATTTCAGTTATCTGGCATTTTTCTCGTTTTGTTTTGGGAAGCAACTTTGAATCTCAGGAAATTGAGGTGACTAAGATTATTAACAGAAAGAAACATAGCTTTTGCTGAGTTGATTTAATACGTAGATCCATAAAGAGAAAAGAAATTTCTTACACTTTTGTTTAAATTAAAAAGCTAACATTATTTTGAGGGGGATGCTACGCTTGCTCAAAGTCATATCGCGGAAAAAGCATTGGTCAGCCACAAATAAGAAATTGCCAGACAGCTTGATCCCCTTGACAAATTGCTGTCAGTGATAGTTTAAAGGATGATTTCAGATTAATTTTAAAAAAAGAAGCCTGAGATTAGCTAGTTAAACTTAAAGGAAGGAGATTTTATGTCCAGCAGTGTAAATGATGGACTATCTGTGAGCAATGACAAGTGCTATACACACAGTGGTGTAGCGAGGGAAAGGCAAGAGGAGGCGAACGTCCTTCCCTAATTGCAAAAAATCTCTTTGAAAAAGGGCATTCTCTGGCGTTCAAAAAGGTGTGGAACCCCAATTTTTCCTGGCCTACTTGCCTTTCCGCCCTCCAATCTTACTACCGTGGCTACGCAATTGTACACATACCAACAATTATAAAGCTGGAAATCGATACGTATTATAGGCTATTGTCGTTGATGTATTTGCACATGGAGCATACAGAAATTGGCATTAACAGCGATGTATTTTGATAACCTAGAACCCTTGCAGTCTCAAATATTCCATTTACATCTCTATACAATAGCATCTCAAAGTGAGCAGTAGTTTGGCATCCGACAGTAGCTATCACGTATCTATGATACTAGTTCGGATTAGAAGTTTTAAATAATGTAGAAATCTGATAGCATAGAGGGGTGCAAATTATGGTGTTGTACTTGGTGTCAGACGCCCAAAATACTGGCATAGTCGTTGGAAAAGAAAGTTACGATAGAGGAGGTTCGAGCCTGGTGATAGACAGCCATAAGTTTTTCTTCCTAGCATCGAAATGTCAGTCTATTATTGTATGATATTCTATTGTATAGTTTTCAACGCAATCTACAAGTCTAAAAAGTCAGATACATAAACGTTAAATTAACTGACTTCGTTTGCATTAGATAGCATTGTTTTTCACACATTAATTTCGTCGAATTTCATCAGAATGGAGATGAAGAGTATGTTTGTAACATTTGTTTGAAAGTAATATATTGTAAGTAATTTCGTCAACTTTAGTCTGTGCGTTAAAATTTCCTAAGGAAAAGGTACTAGGGCCTTTTTGACATACCGATTAAGGTCGAGTGCCTCTCAAGCCATGATGAAATTTCTTTGGAAAAGGACAATGAACTGTTGCCCCCATTTTTTAGAAAGAGTTCCATATAAAGTCACCGTTCCATATTTTCGAATGAGTTATGTTAACTTGTCATGAAACCCAGATTGCCATGTTGAACTAATAACTTGAACACAGAAAGAACAGGAATCATCCTAAACAGAACTTAAAATTTCGTTTCTTTAACTGTATTTTACTTTTATTCCACCAGACCGAGGATATTTTTCACACGGAAGGCAAATAATAACATCAAAATTGCATATTTACTGAAAATAAAATCTGTTTAATTCATTACTTATCGGCTAATTGGATTCAAAAATGTGCATACTGCTTAAAAAGTGTTTTCTTCTCGAAACAAAACGCAATGGTTTGATTGCTCTAAGTCTTGCGTATAGCTTTGCGCAGTTATGCAAACAGAACATGGTTAATAAGATGCTTTAAAATTAAGCCAAATGCTTTCTTAGACACGCCTATAGCGAGAAATAATGCAACAGCAGTTGTTTACTAGTGCTGGTTTGTTGCTCGATTGAAATATTTGCACTCCCTATTAATCGCCTTTTATACCAGCAATAACTGATTTTCCCAGCGAAAGCTCTGTAATGCCTCAATTAAGAAGGATGAGCTTAAAGTTCAGGCATTGTAAGCTTCACATTCGCCTTGATAATTGTACAGAATGAAAAACAAACATGCTTATCCTTTACTATAAGTAATTATGCTTCTTGAAGAAAGAAAAAAGCAAAGAAAAGTTGAACACTGAACAGAACAAGCATTTTCCTGCTCACTTTAAAGCTTCGATGTAAAACCAACAGTAAATTGATTTTGTGGTAGAATGGCGTAGTATTAAGAATCCCGCTTTCCGTGCAAAGGGTCATGGGATCGAGACCATTTTCTGAATCCAGGGGACTAGGGTTTTATCAATGGAGGTCAGGGTAGTTGAAGGAATTGCGCACTTATTTTGAGTATTCCTGATTACCACGGCAATTTTGAAATAAGAAGCATACCTCCAATTAATAATACGTGGTTATATAGACATACTTATTTCTAATAATTTACGATTTAACGATTGTTAATCATTAGCTTTAGGCAAAAAGGTCCTTTGAAAATATAAATTTTTTAAGTGTAAAGAATAATGTTTTCTCGCAAATGGAACTGTTCATACTTTGGTAAAACGGGAAGGAACGTTCTTATAATTGAAAAGTCCAACGTTTTTCTAACACTTTTCTTAAGTCACTGTAGATATAGCTCATAACTGACAGGGAGTTACTAGGAGGAAAAACTCATGCCACATTAGGCATGTATCAACTACGTGAAACAAACTCGTTGCAAATGCAGGAATGCGGTTTGCAACGTAATCTGCAATTTTTCATTCGGTAGCGAGAAAAACTTTGTTCAAAACTGAGTTAAAAGTTCCAAATAAACCATAAGGTTAAAATAACATTGAAAGGACTATAAAATTTAAATACTGAACTATGAAAATTTAAATACTAAATTTGATATACTTAGAATACAGGTATATGCAATTTAGAAATAATCGGGATCTACTTACATTTCAAGAAAAAGGAGTATTCTCAGTCATTGGAATTAGGCAGAGTATAGTTAAAAATTGTGAATTACGAAGGAAAATGGTGCAAAAGATTCATCAACTAGATGTAATTTTACAAGTTCTGATGATTGTATTATCAGAATATCTGAATAATTGGCAAAATGATTGTGAGTTGCCATACCATTAGGAATTACATGAATCTGATGCTAGGAGACGTCAAGAGCAACACTAGAGCAAAAAGTCATTTTTGCCAGTGTCATATGCATTTCGGTAACCTTATGCATTTCGGTCCGGGTATTCAAACGCATGGCAATTTTAGTTATGCAAAAACGTATCCAAGCACTTAAACGTTAGGGTACCAAAATGAATGGTGGAATTTAGCATGCAAAATGGTCCAGGTACACAGTTTTCTGATTCATATTGTTCAGCATGTGAAGAACAATCGAACTATTTTTAGCAAGGGGGTACTAATAAAAAGTGGTGCTGTGATTTCCCTTGTTAAGTTTATGCAAAAAAGTACAACATTAATGGCGACTCCAAAGTTTGCTTGATTGACAAGTGTGAAATTTTAAACTCGAAAAGCATTGTGTTCAGTTTGTACTAATAACGTGCCATAACATCGCACTACGATGAAATCACATAATTTGAGACATTTTGCGTTTCACAATGTTTCACTTTTGTACAGGGTACCAAAACGCATATTACACCTGAAATAAACAGAGACTGGGGCGAGTGACGTCACACATTGCACTTTCACATACACTTATAACGCATATCACATACGCAGATAACCAACATAAAATTTTTATCTAAATACACATAAGGGCAAAAGTAGCTAGCTTTGATCTATTTTCTAGTAACCAATTTTCTTTTTTATAGGAAATTCACGCGTCTGTTGAGCATGGAATCGGGCTTAGCCTCAAAGAGGCTTACATCAAGAGACTTTTGTTCACATTTTCAGTGGATGAATAGGCCACAAATACGAAAATGTAGAGAAAATCCAAAGGCAGTTATGATAGTGGGACAGGGTACTTACAATGGACTACAAGAATGCCAGTTGCAATTCAAGGACTATAGATGGAATTGTACTGGGCAACGAAATTCATGGCGTCTATTTGAGAAGATGAACAAGAAAAGTGAGTCACTTTAAATCTATTTATTGGCATGCAATTGTATCATTTACAAATACTGTTCCTTTATTACTTCATAGTGTGGAAAATCTGAATGACAGCTAAGGGGTTGATGATTTTTTCAATAAATTAGGCATAAACTTTAGCTATAGGCAAAGGATCTTCAAAATGCTATCTGATTCCTCTTTTATTGAAGGCCCACCAGACTGTCTCCAAATATCAGTCAATGCCTACGAGCTTTCTTAAGCCCAATTCATTCATAGATGGAATTCAAACATTATAATCAGGTATTTAATGCCACACGTAATGTATCGGAACTAAAGCATCCATGATAGGTCTTTTACGTATTGGCAAAGATAAACTTTGGTTTAGTGTACACAAGTCCAAACGTTCCGATACAATATAAAAGACCTCGCACATTGTTCAAGTCTTCAAATCCACGAGTCAATACGCATATAATCGTTAATTGCTAAAAACACGGACGTAGTCACGCTAAATTGTCAACGTCAACGATAGAAATCGATCTGGACAAGCCTTGACTTAAGGCTGATTTCCACGAGGCGAAATTGTCTTTGATTTCAACGAGACTGCGAATTCGCTGCGAAATTATATAATGATTTCCCCCAAAACTCAACTTTAAGGCGCCTATTTTAAGAACTGCACGCATGACGAATGTTCCAAGATTGTTTTCTTACAAATCAAGCAAATTTACCATGCTTTGACTGGCTATGAGGTGCTGCGAAATATTTCGCCGAGAAAAAGTAGAACTCTTTTTTACTCTCTTGCGAATTCGCTGCGAAATCAAAAATCAAAACTGCGCATGCCTTGATGCCTTCATCAGCGATTTCGCCGCGAATTCGCTGCGAAATTCGCCTCGTGGAAATCAGCCTTTAATGTCGTCGAGATATATTAAAGAGAAGGAGATGAAAGCAAAAAGGTTCATTTTTAGAGGCCTTTTTCTGAAAATGGAGTATGGATGAACAAAATTGCAGTAAACCAATTGCTGCAATACAAAATAAATTCCAAAAAAAAATGCTTTGTAATTTTTTGTGATATCTTTAGAGTAGGAGATATAGTAAATCCTTTACTTTAAACTATGTTCACAAAAAGAGGCCTTACCGCTTGTGCCACATCAGGGAGGAGATACTGGTCGACTAAAGGGGGGGGGGGAATTTGGGTAGCAGCCTTAAATGATAAATGCAGATGATGACAGCAATCATCCACCGGAATGTCATTGCTTAGCTATTCTTTTGTGAGTTTACGATTTATAGGGTTGGTTTGTAGCAAAATATATCACTCGACCTGGGAGATCACTTAATCATGGGATTATTGGCTAAATTTATCCGCATTTTCCTAATCTTAATTGCGAAAGATCTAACAGCATATTGACGAATTCGTTTGATTAAGAAGTCCGGGTTGCGCTGGGATTACTGTCCAGTGCAGTTGGTCACAAACAAAAGCGCGTAAACCTTAATCCAAGCTAGATAGGATACCGATGCTTATTGTGCTCTCATAAGCAAAAGTCGACGAACAATCGGTGGATTATTTGTTTTGGACCTTGCACAACGATGGCAAGAGCTCGAGATTAGGATAAAGAGAAGGTTTCTTTGTGGCGGTGCAGTAAGAAGGCTGTTCAGCGCAGTTTAATCCCAGCAGCCAATCTAGGCCGCTATGTGCTTTTCAATCTAGAAGGTAAAACACGGATACGATGGCGTGATTGGGCTCATGGTCTGTGGCTGTGACAAATAATTCGGATACGCACTCATAAAGAACCGACAAATGTTTACTGAAATAGCTGACATGTCAGGAGACTATCCTCAGCTAAGCTGCTCGATATCCATTATGATTCAGTGCGATTTTACATAAAGTAGCTAACTGGGTTACCTATGAACAGTTAGATTACGAAGCATTGCTGTGTGTACACAAAGTACTTTCCTTAAATACAACAATACAGCTTTGTGAAAAATCATTAGGTGCAAGTTCAGTAGACATGAGAGACACTCAGTATTGTACATAAATCATCCTGATGTTAGCTGGAACATAGGCCCAAACTCCAAATCACCTTTAACGATGAACAGTTATAGACTGAATACCGTCATAACGAATGCAATTTTTGTTACCCAGTCTTTGTTCAAAGTATTCCCTAAAAATTGACCCTCGATAAAGACGAAAATAGATAATTAACAAACAACCAAACTCTCTACACGCACCATAGGAACATGTGGTTTCCAAATAACCAAATGGCGATAAGCTAATTTAAGCTTGGTTGCAGCCAAATAAATTTGTATTTTTTAACTAAAAAGAAAATGAATGACCAAGTTGCTGCTGCGAAGTTTTAAATTGGATTTTGTGAGCTTCATCGGGATTAAACAGCCTCGGTCAATCTTATCAATCTTATCTCCACAGAAAATCCCTTGCTCCTATCAGAGTAATTAATTTGCTAAATTGCACTGTATGAAGAAATGAAAGGAAATATCACTGTACAGCACATTACATAACAACTGGTCTGCAATAAAATAGTGTTAAATACAATACATTTTGGTGTACCACAGTACAAGGCAATGCAACGGATTCAGGACAATCTACTTTACGATTAAGCGATGCAAGCCTAAAGGATTAATACCATTTGAAATAATTGAAAGCAGTGCGATACCGCAAAATGAATTATTGTAATATGCAATACTATGCAATGTCATAAAACGCTTAGAAGAAGTGTTACAACGTATAATGTTTAATGTCGCTGCAATTGCAAACGTTATAAATTTATGCATTACAATACAATAGATGCACTCCAATCCAATCAGCAATACAGTTTATTATCTTACATTACAATACGTTACATCACAATTCAGTACAATACAATACAATACAATACTATACTACACTATACTATACTATACTATACTATACTATACTTTACTATACTATACTATACTATACTATACCAGACTATACTATACTATACCAGACTATACTATACTATACCAGACTATACTATACTATACCAGACTATACTATACTATACTATACTATACTATACTATACTATACTATACTATACTATACTATACTATACTATACTATACTATACTATATCTATATACTATATCTAATACTATAGCTACTACTATACTATACTATACTATACTATAAGCTACTATACTATACTATACTTCTATACTATACTATACTATACTATACTATACTATACTATACTATACTATACTATACTATACTATACTATACTATACTATACTATACTATACTATACTATACTATACGCTCCACTTTACTATAATTCAATGAGCTAACACAAGTCAAAACAATAAAACGACATATGTAACAAAAGCATAACTTTATTTGATAAAACAACAACATAAACCATAACATAACTCATTATATTATAACATAAAATTGCAGAGAGAAATGCAATAATAACTTGATATTACAGATAACTTGATACCATCTTAAAGCGTTTTAACAGTATGCAAATCAAGAACTTGATATCTTTATTGTGTTGTCAACACAGCAAATATTGACAACATTACAAAATGTAGAATATTCATTTTGCTTAGTTTTCTATCAGTGAGTGCCCTATCATGAAACCTCAAACTTGAGCTATGATACTTTGATATATGATGAAGAGAGTTTATGGGCCATACATAGCCAATCTATCAGGCCACGTGTCCTGCCTATTGTGATAAATAAGCCAAGGTTAGAAGAGAGGCAGCATTGTGGTGGGTCAAATAAAATAGTGAAGGGCAACCACCAGTCCTCGCATGAAATTTTTCAAAATGATATATTTGCTAAAAAGACATTCAACTTCTATGTTAAAGCTATTCTGCTGATTTCTTTCTAAAACTTGATTTACACCACTAATGTCCTGTGCCTAATGCTTCCCAGTGTTTACTTTGACTTGATTCAATCACAGGGATTGACTGGATTTTCATTATCCTTCAGGGACAAAAGAGACATCGTTTCTTAGTGCCATAGCATCTGCTAGTGCTGCCTTGGCTCTCGCAAAGGCCTGTTCGCTCGGGTCTCTTAAGAAATGCGGCTGCGGCCAGAGGAATTACCTTTACGAAGAGGCAACAATATCAGAAAAAGACCTATTTCCGTGGAAGGGATGCCAGAGTCACATCATTTATGGTTTAACCTATTCGAGATATTTCCTCGATCCAATGAGCGAGAGACGAAGGCAGCGATCCCTACGAAAATTAATTGGAAAACAGAACAATGCTGCAGGAAGGGAGGTAAGTAGTGAGTTATTGAATTTGGATGCCCATATGCAAACAAGCTTTAAAGACTATGTAACAAAAATAACTGCAATCAGAAAATTAATCCTCCAGGATTGGAAAACGTTGCTTGGTTGGTAAACACGATGCGGTTTGCCTTACCATTGGCAACAATTTATCTCTATTTCCTTTCATTAGGTTTTCTAGAAACTTGGGATTTGGCGATTATTCAATCTGAAATGGTCAGGCTAATCATTGGTTTTTATAGGCCCTGTTTAGGGTTCAAATATAAAAACAACCAATTTTGAAGTTAAGAGATCAATCTTTTGATCGTCAAGTTGAAACTTTACAATCTAATAATACTTTTAATATAACATTTTGTCAGTGTAGCTTAATGGAAGTTGAGACAACCCCATAACACAATATAGGGAACAAAATATGACTAATAATTTCAACCAGATATAAAATCCAAACGGTTTTTGTGGTATGGTACAAACGATACTTAACTACTCTTGCGAAAGCTAGGGATAGTCATCTCCTATCGAGTAAAAAAGAGGCTAACTCTCTACGAGGCTGGGGATTGTCAGTAAAAACTATATTGACGACTACTGGTCGGATCCACAATAACAATTTTTACACTCCTTTTACAGATATACAAATCCAAACTCAAGCCTGTCTGTCGCTGCCACGGAGCAACCGGGTCATGTGTAACGAAAGCGTGCTGGCAGCCATTGCCGAATCTGTATGACATTGGTTCAAGGTTGCGAGATAAATACAAAACCGCTGTAGAGGTTCGATTGAATAGACGAAAGGTAAAACTGCGATCAAAACGAAACAAAAAGTATAGAATACAACCAGATGACCTTGTTTACAGTGACTCGTCACCAGACTTCTGCGAACCTAACAAGGATTATGGAACCCCTGGAACTCACGGACGGTTATGTAACAAAACAGGAGATGGCCTAGATAGGTGCTCCATACTTTGCTGTGGGCGAGGATACGACACGTTCGTCTTACGGAAAACTTTTCGGTGTCACTGTAAATTTAAATGGTGCTGCAGTGTGCAATGCGAAGATTGCACAGAAGAACGCATAGAGTATAGATGTAAATAAACAGCGAAGATATAGGCCAAAATAAAAAATAAGTGGGAACTGACTCAAGAACTGAACTGCCTAAGGCGGGATATCGACTGAAGTGAGTCCAAAGGTATTGTCAAGGCGACGTCGATGATAAACGACGTCCTGTCCGATTGGTCAGAAGGCAAAGCACGTGATAAAAACTCTGATAAAATACAAAGCCTGGTAATGTGGCTTACAGTAGCATATTCGGACCGGTTTCAGCAAAAAATGGATTCGGTGACTTTCTACCGCCTCTATAGGGTTTGATAAGGCTATAGGGTTTGATAAGCGTATTTAAAAGAGCTGCGTCACATGATAACCAACTAACCAATGCCCTTCACGCGTGAAGTTAAGGTTGAGTTACGTAAATACGGCCTGATATGATAGGATAAGTTTTTAGACTTCCCTTGTGGCTAAAATGACCTAGGAAGTTTCAAGGTAATAAAACGAAAATTTTCTGCCTTGGTTGTGAAATATTCGGAATCCTCCCTTCCTGATCAATTTTATGACCCTACGTTAACAGAAATAAACAATATGATTAGAAAACACTCAATAATAACAAAACGTGAGTTTTTAATTAACGAAGGTCTAAACAAGATTTCTCAAGGCGAATTTCTTTACACCTAAAAACTTTATAATTATTTGTGATGAGATTGCAGGAAAAACTGTAAAGAGAAAAGCAAGTTTGAAGTGTTACTCTATGTTATAAAATGGCTCTAGGGCACTTACCTAATCGACAGAATTGGCAAAATAATTTTTTAATTATTAAGCATGAAAGCTTCTAGGGTCTTGTTAAAAGGTTTTCCCCTTAACCTTGTTTAAAATTTTACATCTTGTTTCTAAAATTAAATTAAGTCGACTGGTGGTTGTCCTAATGCTGAAAATCTGTTAAGCTGCCTGAAAAGGCCACGCAAACCAAAGGAAAAACGCTTTGAAATAAAAAATATGAATTTGAGCTTCAATGTCATCTCCGCTGGTCTAGATAGGAAATATTACAGGCAGTTGGCAACTGTGTGCTAGCAAAACATTCGATGAATCTGTGGCAAAAACCTTGTTTAACTATTGCGGTTGACAATATTCTGCATATGTTTTTAGAAGTAACTTGAAGTAAACCATAGTAAATAAAAGTTACTTTGTTAAATACTGCGTTGTGTAAACCTTATGCAAAGCAGACATCAAAACGCCAACGTATCAAAGCAGCAGTATCAATTCTGTTACTTTAATTAATTGTATAACTCCTAGTAGTTTTTGCGCAACGATTCAGTTAAATAATTAAGTATTACACCCACCCAACAAGTTGGTGCCAAAATGAAACCAGTGCAAGTAGGTGCTTAGGACAAAGGTGAGGTCATCGAGTAAAGGGCAGAATCAAGAGAAGCCATTCTGTTGTTTGTACTTTCCAAAAGGTGTGGCTTGTCCGATGGGCTTGAGCAACAAACTCCTCTCAATTCTAACTATTAACTAACTCCTCTCAATTCTAACTAACTATTATAAGGAAACAGGAACTATTCAAAAATAGGTCATGGCACCTTAACTCTACTTGATTCAGGCCACATCACAGCACTTGTCCGTGAAAGCCATCTTTTTTAGGAAACACTATCGAAGCTAATTCAGGGTAGGGTCCAGAAGAAGTTCCATTTACAACTGTCGCCCTTATAGAACAGAACCTAGTGGGAGTATCCACAGTACAGGATCACCGGGTAACAAAAGGAGAGTTGCTTCAGTCAGCAGGCCGAAATAAAATTATTAGGATAACTACCCTCATAAAATAATTTTCACAATATTGCTTTTATCTTGTGTGATATCGTCCTTTAACTTATTTGTAAGTAAAATTATTCATTAATTCAAATGCACATTGACACTATTTATTTTAATATCAAGTTTTTAATTTACCGTGTTTTATTGATGAATCTGAAGTTGTCAATGATGATTGTGGTTTTTCTGTTATAAAAACATCTTAGTATTTCTTCAACTAGATGAAAGGATAGCAGCCGCTGATTGGCCAAATCAAGGAACCAATCAAACGCGCCATTCTTCCTTGCACGTTAGTTTCGATCCACATAAGGAAATGAATTTTCTGCTTACTTTTGGTTATTATCAAACATTCATTCTATGAGGAGTGTTGGAAGAAAAGTGCTTCACATTAAATACAAAAACTTTCAGTGGTTAAAATTTCCAGAAAATAAACTTCAGCGAAAATATTTTCGTCATTTCGGACAAAAATATTTTTGGACAAATGATGACCAGTGTTTTGGATGTTTAAAACAAAACAACTTCAGGTTATTGATTCACACATACTTTTAAATCATTGAACCCTTTTAGAAACTCGCGAGAAACTCTGAGTACAGAAAAAGTGAAAGTGTTAAGAAACTTTCAGTACCGTACTGGCACAAATTATTAGTTTCTAATATGGAATACAGGCATTGAAACTATCCACCTTGTCGAGCAAAGTTCCCTTCCGAGAGCAAAATTTCTTGAACATTTAGAAGATAAAAAGATTTTTGCCTTTTTTTACTATATGTAATTGTAATTGCTTATAATTTTCAAAAGGGTCTTCTGACTCAAGTTAAGGTTAAAGGTAGTCCCATCGAACGTTGGGGAATGCGCTGTTAGGGGTGCATCGTCCTAAGCCATTGTTAGTGGTGGCATTGTGTGATAGGGTGGCCAGTTCCTTCCACGCCGCTTTTACCTCTCTAGTATGTTTCAATAAGATAAAGAAATCAACGACCAATAAGCCTTTTAAGAGTTGAAGGGTCTCTAACAACCACGAAACAACGTCACATCGAAAGGACAATGGCCGAAAAGTATAGTTATTATACATACTCAAACATGTTTATATATCTTATGTAGAATGCGAACCAACTTTTAGCGTATAAATATACTGTAGAATTACGGTAACACGTACAATACGAGCAAAATAACTGCTATTAAGTAATTGTTACGGTTCTATGTCACGACGTAGTGTCACGAGGGGTGTCACGATGCTTGGAACAACTGATAAATTATTGAAGCTCAACTTTAAAGATTCAAAACATTCGCAACGGCCAGAGTAGGACTAAGTATAGACAACCTTAAAGTCCAAGGAAAATCTACCAAATCTACCCTGCTTTAGAGATCCCGTAAGATTCATTGATTTAAACAGCTTTCAACTGATGGTTATGAAAGATTGACAAAAAAAATAAAAATGGTATCAAATGAGCAAGCAATATTAATCCAAGTAACATACCAATATGACAATATTATCAGCACATTAAACAGCTTGGTACTACAGTTAGTGGCATTATACAGTTACTGTAATGGGGGACTCCAGCGCGTTTTTTCTCCTCAGCTGGGCTTTTTAATGTGGAAGATACTAACTAACCATACGACCAATGGGTGGTGAAGAGTGAACTCCAGTGTCTTTAAAACGAAACAGCACGGTTGTATTTCTATGAAAGAAACGAAACTACCCTGAACCCAATTATGAAACTTTTAGTTAGCTATATATTCGAAAAATATTATCTGATGACACGAATACGTAGGCAACAGGAAGAATACAATAAAACAACATTTCTCCACTACGAAGACCCACATACACAAAAGAGACAGGGGTTTGTGAATAAGACCCATATTGAATAGAAAAACCGGCCAAGAAGCATATTTCGTGATCCTATTGTCCACGATGTCTTTAGTCACATAACATGATATAAATATAAGGAAAACAGACACGCGCATGAAACTTGTCTATGGTTGTAGTCTCTTCTCTACATGGTTATTTAAAGGCATCTTCAGGCAAAAAAACCATCTTAAGAAAACGTCGCCATTACAAGAATTGCCCCAAGGAAAATGCGCATTTCAACAATTTGCAGTAGCATACACACTGAAGCGCTCTAGAGTAAAGATCTTCTAGGTTTTCTAGATAATTTTATGTTCTTCGTGGAGGAAAAGGATGATACAAAGCATTTTTCATCTCTCTGGGAGATCATGGAGACCGTCTGTTTTCTCTTCATTGATTTGGATTGTTTGACTTTTGGCGGTTACAGAGATCTTCTACAATACGCAAAAAACCTTGTTAGAGACATTTCGGTAACGTACTGCTCAGTGGCTGACCCGGGGCAGGAGATAAATTTTACGAATGCGATATCGCATTTCCGTAATACACAAGCGTAAAAATATTCCACAGTGGCAGTGAAATTGATAATAATAAGAATTCACATATCGAGATTGTATGGTGTAACTAGTATCAGTGACGAAAATAATGACGGGGAAGATTTTGCAGTAGCAAAGTTATCGAAATGATAAAAATACATACAATACATAGCAATAACACGAATAAATCCTGCTATTACCAGCCATGTTATAACGAAATTCTTGCTATTACGAACTAATAGCTTGGTCTCTCTGTATACCGTTTTCGGAATTTCACTGCATATACAATTCCCTGCAGCCAAAGTAACGTGCAAGGAAGGTACAGTAGCGTACAGTAGCAAAGGCATTCCGAATAGTTAAAATATATACAATTTTTTCTAACATAGTCTTCATAACGCCCTTCCAGATCCTATTAAAGATATCCTACATTGCATCTGGTACTCCTTTAGATATATTAAAAATCTCCATTTATTGATATTTCAGCTAAAAAATTCCTATACTTATTATGATACTTGTCAAGTAGAACCGAGAAACTCTTTTCATGTAGATAAGAACAAAAAATTTGCAACGTTACCTCTTATCAAGTCAATGCCTTGTCTACTTTAGGTATAATCTCTTTCAACTTTTTCCACTGATCAACCGACAAAGAAATTCCTGCAAAAAGTGGAAGCAAAAATTGATTGTGGTTATATAAAGTCTAATAAAATGATCGATCAAACATCGATCAGTGATTTGAAAATATAAAAAACAAATAAATTTACATGAAAACACTTAGTCAGAGAAGCAAGTTGTAACTATCAATAACATTTCAAATTGAGCCTAGTCATCGTGCTAAAACTAGGTATGCAATCAGACAGTGTACCAGATGAGTAATATCTAAAGCAATTGACTATGAAAACACCAAGAGAGCTACTGAAAAGCCATCTTATGACTAAAACTAGAATTTCATAACAGCATTGCTGCAAAAAAGGATTGTGATTGTAGCTGCAAATTGCTTAGTGGGTGCTAAAACATACATAGTTTTCTGCAGGGCTACTCTAAAACTTAGAACTATCGCAGTATTTGGGTGCTTTTGCAAATATAATGACTTTTGCTCAGAATTGTGCTGTTTTTAAACAATAGACTAATGGCTTCTCACATATCAGATAGCAGATATGGCACAATATCGCACTGCATTTTCAGGAAAGGCTTTCCTTTAAGGAAACAAACTCAAGTTTCCATTATATGACGCATTATCAATTAACCCAAGATAGGGTTAGTTGTATTTTCAAGATAAAAAGAAGAGATATATTTTGGGTTTTCTGTATGAGAGAGAACTTACCCTTTTTCCCAGGTTTTTCTGTTCCATCATCAGTCTCGTAATATTCTCTAATGTCAACCAATAATCTTCCTTTGAAGTTATTTATTGATACTTTTCTTCTTTTGCCAAGCTTAAAAGGAATCAGCATTTTAGAAGCAGCTACAAAGAATCAATCAATAATAATGTGATGTGAACGGTTTACAGTACCGCTTAGGCATACCTGGAATATGACCAATCAGAAAAGGCCTTGTTGCTTTTGCATAGGGAGTGATAGTGGGATGTCTGGTTGAAAGAAGAGATGAAGGGAGGGAGGAAAAGACTGAGATAAAAGATTTTGTTTTGGGGCCAGCCCTGATAAAGTGTAGCAACAGCCATACTTTACAAAATAAAAGTATTTTACTTATGCTACTTAAGTTCTTGGGAGGGCCAAGGCCCCTCCTCCCCTGACCCCCAGTATCTTGCTCCATGGAGGAAGGGATGGAAGGCTGGATGGATGGAGATATGGTGGGTGCAGGGAAGGGGTGAAGGGGAGGGATAAAAATTAGGGATGGAGGTTAGGAATGGAAGTTAGGGATGGGGAGATGGAAAGAGGGATGGAAAGAGAGAGAAGTATAGATGGAGAGATGTGTGGAAGGAGGGATGGCAGGCAGGGATGGAAGGAGGGTTTTAATTGTGTTTCTTTGGTAAAAATGGTAGGCATTAATACAATGTATTCCTGATAAATATACATTGAAGTTAACAATGTCATACAATTTTTGAATAACAAAATACATGATTAAATAACATTTAAGAAGAGAAGGAGCACAGGCCAATAAAATGATAAGATCCAAATTTTTTTGCTATTTGTACAGTCATTTGAATGTGTAACTGGATTGTAGTTATCAAATATACCGCCTGCTCAAGACACCATTGTGAAAGACAAACATTGGCGTTAAAGAAATTTGAAACATTGCAAATGCTTCGCTGATAATTTTACTAGCATGTTTTTATCATTATTATTATCTACACATTAGTTAAAGGAAATTGATTATTTCTTATTTTTGTTGATAGTTCTTTTCTGCTCAAAAATTGTAAACATATTCTATTTTGTAAAACATGACAAGCTGATAGAATTGTTACAAAGTCTGGATTAGAGTTCATTCAAAATTGAAGATGTAATTTCCAGTAGAACAGGGGCCAGTAAAACGGAGGGGAAATATATTGCTACTCCCAAACTTTTACAAAATCAAAGCATAAACTTCCACAGGTTTTACAGCAAAGACAACAATTAGTAATAAGCTGGTGACATTTGCAAATGACAGAGTAATTGGTTCAGGTTGTTTATTGTTTACATTTTCAAACTAGGATTACTTTAAAAAAAACTGAAATTTTTAAAATTACCTCCCAAACTGTTACTTCTTCATCTGACTCTTCAGGCTCTGGCTTTTTCTGCTTCTTTTTCTTTTCCTGTAAAATTCATCACATAAAGGCTACAAACAAAAACTAAACATGTGGATGCCCATCTTGAACACTTAAACTTTGGTCATACTTCTTTAGAATGATTCCACAAATTTTGTGAAACAGAAACATAGGAAAGATGCTAAAAAGTCGAAATTCTTTAAAATGCTGGCTAGATAAATACCACAAACCATCTGTGACAGTGACGTAGCTAGCAGTCATGCCTGTCATGCTGGGAGAGACCATCCATTGTTAGAGGTAACATTTTCTGGAAATTTTTATTTACATTTGAATATATCTTAATTTATTGCAAGTTTATAAGCAGTGGCAGACACTTGGTCAAATATTGGGGGGGAAGGGGAAAAGCCTATTGTTTTGATAAGGTGATGTCACATTTCTCTATTGTTTTAGAACAAAAATACAATTGTTCTCCAAAATATTGTGGTGGCAACCACTGTTTACAAGACTCTGGAACATCTATATTTCTCTGTGCCAAAAAAATGTAAATTGCAACCTCCAAAAGACCTCTTCTATTTTGGGGTATGACCAAAACATAGGGTTCCCAATTTAGTCATGCACTTAACTATGAGCATGACCATGCCCTGTGTTTTGGTTACGCCCATAATGCTGGTTTGGTCATGCCTAATGTATAATGCATATGTTTGGTCATGCCTAACAATAAGAATGATACAGGAGGAAGGCTAGTCATGCCATTTCATCAGAGCCAAGGATACAATATAAACAGTTGTGTGATGATGGTTAATTTGTGAATAAGAATGCAAGGGGTCATTTATCAATGATGGCAGCACGGCTGTGGATTAGTCAATGAGATGGAAGGTAATTCTCTTGAAGTAGAATGCAAGCAAAAGTATTTATGACAATGGCAGGATTTTTAGCTTCAATGGTGTTGATCTATGTGGAGAAGTGGAAGCATGAAGGGCCTTTTTAGCATTTGGCTAACCAATAAAGGTGCTTTGTGTTGGGACACAAAATCAACAGGATTAGTCAACAGGATCATTGTGGCAGTTAATCAATAGAGAATGCCAAAAATTGCTTCAAGTTACAAATTACAAGTTACTTGAACTTTTTGATGATTAATGCAATTACACTGTTTTGCCATACAATTAAAGACAAACTCAAAGCTATATTGACTTTTTGTAGTTGATAGTTACTTTTTATTACTTATAGCTGTTTAGATAAAATGTTGAGCATGCTGCAGGCTAAAAATGAAATACAGGTCAAGCATGCTGCAGGGTAAAAATGAACTTAAGCCTCCAAATTGAAAGAAATTAGGGGAACAAGAAAATATATAAAACAACTTTATAGATAAAAATTAAGTTTGCTAAATGTCACCTTGTATATAGAAATTGACCAACAACCAAAAACAGTGTCACAACTGTATAACTTAGCATCATTTCATGGAGTAACATGACAATTGCTTGAGAAAAATTTCATCAGAAGATATTTCGTAAGTAATGGGCCTTAAACTTTTTTTATTCAAAAGGAACTCATCAGTTCAAAAATTGAGGTTGAAAATTGGACCACACCCAAATTATTCAATTCAAGGAGGGGGCAAGACCACTGCTATCTGGCTTGCTATGCCACTGATCTTTAAATGATATCAATTTGGAAATTATGCAGCCCTATTTTGCATAGCATGCGAATTCAGGTTATCTGCATCACTTTGCATTTATTTGTTATCTTTCCTTTTCATACTTCTTTACACCCAAATAAGCTATTGGGCAAATCAAATACAAGCAAATTAAAAGCTGTTGCAATGCCAAGTGCACTAGCACTACCAATTTATGTTTGATGGTGTAGAATTAAGCTTGATGTATCTGCATAAGAACAGTTCTGATCAGTCCATCTGCTAAAAATCAGAAGGATGTCGTACAGAAGGAGGAAAAATATTGATGGAAAAGAAAGGGGAAAGGGAGGATTATGTTCTCAAAACATGGAATGCAATTCTTCTAAAAATTTAAATAAAATGCATTAGGTAGGGGTGAATGTTATTTTATCTCAGGGACATCTGAGCACATTTAAGGGTGGGGGGCTCTAGACCAATTGGCAAACTTTTATGGGTGTTTTTCTAGCATTATTTTGATGACAAAACTTGAATATCATACTTCAACTGAACATATCAAAACCTGAACATCATGCTTCTTATTAGCACTCCCTTTTTTAAAAATAGTTTGATTGTTCTTTACATTCTAAAAACTTTGAACCAGAACATTTCTGTACCCAGACCGGTTCACATGATATTCCGCCATTCACTTTGGTTCCCTTATTTTTAAAAGGCTTAGGTATGTTTTTGCATTACCAAAATTATCATGCGTTTGTGTACCCAGACGTTACCGAAACAGATATGACACCGCCACTGATTTAAGTGAATGGAGCAACGTTGGTAATGTTTCCCCCAGTATAGGGCGCCCCAGTATACGGTCAAGCCCCAGTATAGGGATTGTCAATCAAGATTATGTTCTTAAGTGCCGCCAAAGCCGTTTCGGTACGTTATCGTCGCGATGATAGATAGAAGTTATTTCAAGATACGGCGGCTTCTTCGGCCAGTAGACATTCAGCGATACATTTTCAGCAAGCGGCCATGTTTTTGCTCTGATCAAGCCCCGTATACTTTAGAATTTAATTTTGATTGACAATCCCTATACTGGGGCTTGGCCGTATACTGGGGGCGCCCTATACTGGGGAAAAAGTTATCAATATGGTCAGGTGAATGATTGTTGGATGATGTCGAGTCGATCATTCTCTGCATCATCATTTAAAGTAAGAGCAATTAACAAATGAATTTATGGCAGCAAAAAAGGTACCTTTCGGTCATCTCCACTGTTATCAGAATCTGACGTTGATACTAATTCTTTGCTCTTTGGCCTCTTTGACATCGTGCTCACTTCTACGCCACGAGACAAGATCTTCCCCGCCAAGTTCTGCTGTGGGTTTTTGTTTTTCTTCGAATTGAACTGAATTCCATTCACTTCGAGGACACTTGAAACAGAGACTATCAGAAAAGTTCCAAGATGGCCGCTTTGTGGATAAAAGATAATATCAACAACGATGACGACGAATCGGTGAGTTGTCAGGAATAAAATGAACACAGTCACGAAAAAAAGCTTTTCTGCCTCATTTCAAAATGATTTAGTGATCCCACTTCGATAAGCGCCCAAATATAGCTTTTGAAGTGTATTTTTGGTATCACAAAACTAGGCCATTTTGTGTAGGTACTATATATTTTTTGCGTTCTTGCAAGGTTATATTGGAAAACGGCATGTTTTTAAGAGAAGACAGATGCATAACGAAAATCAAGACTCCTATAAACTAATTTCCATGATAGCACTATTGATCGAAAGATCTTCATATTAAAACGAGCGATAATTCCCCTTTCGTTTTGCCTCGTTGTTTGCGTAGCTGTTCTTGACGAGTTTTTTATATCAGTGAAAAATTATAAAAATCACTGACTGAAAATTGCAAATACAGAAAATTTGTGCTTAAAACAATGAATTTAAACAAACCTTTCATTGTAAATAGCACATGGTACTAGACCAGGCAAGTGCACACCCAATATTTTTTCTAAAATGTCCTCCTGCACACCCGGTAAAGGTGATGACATTTTGAAATCTGGGCGTAGTGTGGGGAGTGGATGTGTCTTATAGGATTGCTAAGGGCAAATTAAGAATTTAAGTTTCTTCAGGATAGACATAATCTTGCACTGATTTGACTATCAATCATGTTCATTTTCTTACTTCACTCATATTCCTTATCACCCATATTCAACTGATACTCGTGGGATCTAAACTAGTTGTGTATTATTAAAGGACCTTGTTTATTTTAGTAGGAATTTCTTTATGAGCATTTAATTAATTACTACCACAAAAGTATGAATTTGTTGTGGTATCAATAAAATGCTGTAGGCAACCTCAGATGGCAAAAACCATCAAATTGAGGGGTCCAATTTGAAAATATACGGTAGCAGTGGGGGCTTATTTGAGGGGGGGGCTTATTCAAGAGGGGCCAAATCAAGGATTTATGATGCTACTGTGCACAATTGAAGCACAACTTAACATATGTGCACACATTGCAAACTTGAAAAATTTGGTCATCTGAGATCTTGTTGGAAACTGCCATATTCTGCAGTCTAGGTACTAGATGATTAGCAAAATAGTTTACAGGAAAATATCTCTCCTAAGCCATCAAGCACATCTCTCTTGCAGCCAAAAAAAATTAAAACAAACTGTGACTAACAATGAAAACATAAAAAAGATAGAAAAGACAATAAAAAGGGGTGCAGCTTAAATGAATCTGTTTGTAACATTGATATAACTTGTTATTCCCAAAAGAATGTACCCATTTGATAATATCTCATGCCTGTGTTATCATTACAGTCAATTTTCTTGTGAAAACGTCCTTTTAATAACTGAAATGGTGTGCAAGAAGATGGTTTTTTATAATATAGCAATAGTTAGGCCTGTGGGCAATTTCACACTTTGTAATGCAGCTTTCTAATTATCTTGTATCTTTATCTGCTATGCTGTGCAAACTGAGTACCATCCATTGAAAACTCTATAATTTTGTGCAGAAAATTTCAGAAATTGATTTTGAAGTTGTTTTTAACAGGCATATTTCCCTGACACTTTTATGTATGGTCAAGTTTAGTTGAGAAGATGTTAATAGCAACTTTATGTCTAGCATTTGTCAAAAAAATGTAAATTTTATTCTGATCTCTCAAAACAAATAGAGATATCTTTTTAACACACAGTGTTGCTTAATTATCTTTGTTTTGTTTAAAACAGAGTGACAAAGATGTTGAAGATATTTGGGATGACACAGCACTCATAGAGGCCTATGATAAAGCAATACAGTCATATAAGGTGAATTGACCCTTCTGAATTGTCAAAATTTATCTACATTTGCAAAGCTATCTACATTTTCAATCTAAATTACTCCAATTGTTGTTTCATTAAAATTGACTTCCAATTAAATTAAATAATATTCAATCACATTTTTAAATTGGCTCAGTTAAGTAACATCTAATCACTTTCTAAATGTGAACGATTTAGCCCTTTGATGCTACCAGGTTCTCTTTGCACAAAAATCATGACTTTAGAGTTGATGCACATTGTAGCAATGTATTAGTAGGCATTTAATTCCTCTTTTATAACATACAAATGGGATTGGCACATTAACATCAGGTTTGGTAAGCTATCGCTTTTCTATAGAAATTGAATGAAACACCACTTCATTGAAAGCTTAAATTTGCATTGAGGAATTAACATATAGGAAATCTAGACATGAACAAATAGGTGTAATCTTTTTATGATCTGATTTGACATGCAGAAAACCCAAATCAGTTGAGGGACATTTTTGTAAGACTGTTGCGTGTTGATGAATTTACTAGCTAGATATGAAACTGGACAACCACACAATAGAGAATGAGGGGACATTAAAAATTTGTGATTGGTTACATAACTCTATGTAAACAAAATGTAAGGTGTAAATGACAGTGATACAATACAAGGCATGATTATAGATAGAAACTATTCAATGCAAACCCTTGAAGCAGCCCAGTTATTTTGACTAACCTGTCCTCAAATTTTGTAGAGTTCATTGGAAAGTGGAAATGGCAAGGATAGTGCTCAGATCAAGAAGTATGTTTTTTATTATGATATTAATGCATATTTCCATATTATTGTTCATTTTTAAAGTAAGGGTAATTTTAGCAGATTTGAAAGCATTTAATCTTTCATTTCATCAAAGACAGACAAGGTTTTCATTTAATCTTTACTTTTCTATCTTTAACAGACAGAAGCAAACAAAAAAAAGCAAGAGCTCAAAGAAAAAGGAAAGCTCTCACTTGGTTAGTTAATTTTGCACCCTCAAAGAATTATTACATTTTTGAATGAGCATTTCACTATAAGCATATTGTTTGAATGAAAGAGAAGAGTTGTCTTTTAGTGTGAAAATTTGAAACATTTTGCACCCAGCACTCGAAGCTGTGAAGTATTTTGTGATATCAAAACATTTACCAAGCTTATTTAAAAGAATCTTTAATTAATTTTTTGGTTTGCTTTATGTTTAAAGTGCCTTTTGAGATTTCTTTTGCTGATGACTGTGGTTTCAAACTATCTATTTATTGTACAAAAAACAAGTATTGTCTTTAATCCCACCAACAAAATTGATCAACCCCAAGGCAAGTCTTTGTCAGCCTTTTCTCTGTTGGTTGTCAGCTTGGTCTCTCTACTGTAGCTATCAAGTCTTTGTCAGCCTTTTCTCTGTTGGTTGTCAGCTTTGTCTCTCTACTGTAGCTATCTTTATCAACATAGTTTGGGGCCTTGAGATCTGAGGCTCTCAGCAACATTTGTTATACGCATTGTAGCCCTGTGTTAAAAATAGGAACTGTATACCTTGCTGCCTCGTCCAATCTTTCTCTTGCACCATTTCTGTGCCATGTCATAAACTCCCTTACTTATTCTATCTGCTACTTGAAGCATTGTAGCCTTCTGCTGCTTTACATACGATTATAAAATTTTATTATCAAGCTGGTCATCCTATTTTCAAGCTCGCAAACCTTAATATTATTTTAAAAAATACAAAATCTAAAAGCCAGAACTACCGATCTCTAAGTGTGAGATTTTAAAGTTTTCAACGGCCTAAAATCCAGAATTCACTCCAAGAATCATTAAAGACAGTCCAAAATCTTGTATTAAAGGAGAACTGACACGCAAATATGGTATATTCTATGCAGAATTTGTCGCTGACTTCAAATCTGGAAAAAGGTTTTGTGAAAGTACAAATGAAGTTTCGTGTTTTATTGAAAATAGTCCGCGATGAAAAGACACAAAATTGTCAGGCATTCCATTTATAAGCATAAAGAAGCTAGAAAATCCTAGCTGCATGTCTGCTAGGACGCTAACATCCACATAAAATTTATTTTTATGCTATGATATCTTCGAACCAGCATGCTTTGAAACATTGGAAAAACCTCTAAGCTTATGAACAAAAGGAGTCGACTTTGTTTGAAAACTGATGCCGTTTCTTCAAAATTTTTATTTTCATAACTACAAATAAATTCGCAACAGCGGGGGGGGGGGAGAGGGGTGTTTGAAGCAATAGCAAAGAGACAAACGAATTATAGTGGAGACGGCGGTAAAAGCAATCCTGCAACCTGCTTTGGGTGCAGAAATATGAATTGAAGAAAAAATGACATCTATTAATTATCTTCGAAATCCTGTTGTCTGTAAACTTTCTCTTCAACCCTATCCAGTGTTGGGGCTGCGATGGCCCTCCTGGTGTGGGCAGTCTTCTCTCACTCTTCAGGTCCTCTGCACTTTGTGATGGAGCTGCGATGGCTCCCCTGTGTAACTGGTAAAAAAGAGGGGCAGTGCGGGTGAATGACTCGGCCTTGGGTGTTGGCTTGAAAGCACGACCCGATAAGCTCAGCGGTAGAGCACTTGACGTACAAAGTCAGGGGTCGTGAGTTCGAGCCTCGCTCGGGTCGGTTATTTTCCCGCACTCTCTATTAAAAAATGACATATAATTCCTGCAAGTACGACTTTCAACTCATCTTAGTATTTAATATCACGATACAGCTAACGCGTTTGAAACATTGAAAAACAATCATAGAGTGTTACATTGATAATTAATAACTTGCAGTTCCGTTTAGGAACTTTAGGACATCATAGGCATTTCAGCGAGTTAGGCCGATTAGGCCAGGCAGACAAAGCAGTCTGGACAAAGACACCTCAATCTGAAATATAAATCTAGTTTTACGATACCAGATCTCATTTAAAATGTGCCAATAGCAATGTTTTTAATACAAATTCCATATCAGTTTGTACTTCCATTCTGTTCTTTGTTTATAATATCGTCACTATTGAGCCATTGGACGGCAGTCTGCCCAAGCAGCAGCGCTGGTTGGTGGCACAAACTCAGAAGGCTGAAATTTTTGTTTGTTTCGAAATCAGTGTAATAAAACTCCGAGTCAGAGTCTCAAACCTTTGAAAAAGTCAATTATATGTCAATTAGCTTCCTCACACGCACAAAATAAACATTTGTTCGCAGCATTTTCTTAAAGGTTTCTATAGAGAAACACAATACGTGCTGAGAACATGTCACTTGTGACGTCAAAGATGATCACCCACTCGTGACGATTTTTGCCTCGAGTCTCAAGTTGTCGGAACAATTGTCGTTTCTTCATTCAAAACGCCTGTATTTCAAAAACGGTACCTGTGATTTAAAAAAATTTTCGACCCCGGAATCTGCTTGTGACAAACTACCGTTTAAGACAGACTTGTTTTTGCGTGTCAGTTCTCCTTTAAATAGTTTATACAGGAAAAACTATATTTAACAGTGCATAAGATATAATTAAACTGTCTTCTTCTATTTCCCACTGGACGAAAAGCTTTTCAAAGGAGACTATTTGCAAATTCCAATTCCACAAAGAACCAATGCAATGCGTCTTTCTTCCTCTCACGTTGCTTTCGATCTAACCTGGATATAAATTTTCTGCTTACCACCATTAGCGTGCGTTATTACTGTAAAGAGTATCATAGGAGAAGTGCTTCAGTATGCTTTGTTCCGCTTATTTGGTCGTTTCCATAACATATAATTGTCTCTTCTTTCTTGCTCTAGAAAATTGCATGGAATGTCGGAGATATTTGTAGAGCTATTTACTATGCAGATGGACTTGTGTATGATGGACAAATTATTGATATACAAAAAAGGGATGGGACATGCACAGTAAGATTTGATTTCTATGAGAATGAAGAAATTGTCAATATTGAAGATGTTTTTCAAAAGGACCATGATAAAAGGCATAGTAATGGCATTGATAGGAAACATGACTCAAATAAAAACAGAACGATGCAAAGAGGCAACAAACATGCAAATGACAGAATAGATACCCGCAAAATTACTTCTAGTGGCAGTGAGAGAGATGAAAGTGCAAACAACCACAGATCCTCACATAGACACAGTGGAGCTGTAAGTTAATGTTATTTAACTTTTTTAGGGGGATCTTCTTTGAAGTTAGACCATTTGCAGAGCCCTCGATGAGCCCTTTGGTTCGGTAGCCCGACTGATGCTTGGGGCGACTTGGCTAACGCTTAGGGCGCCCCCTCCCTTCTCTACAACTTCAATATCGGCAGGGCTTATCCGCTATCTTTCAGGTCACGGAAATTTTTTCCTAAAAATTTCCTTGTTTTGGTCTTTTAACCTACTTTAGAGTTTGGCTGAATAGTCGAAAACCCTTCCAATTGACAATTTTCTCTACATTCATGATAACTATTTAATTTTTTGAGCGTGGAATTTTTTATTATTTTGCGATATTTCTAGCTGTCTTTGGCCTTCATTGCCGCTGGATTTTTTGCTTATTTTTTGCTTATTTCTAGAAAAAGATCTCCACCTTCTGTGCAATCGCAACCATTATCTTCTCTCAGAATTTTCAGGGTTCCAGCTCATTGACCATTGGGGACGTTTGTTTGGCAGTGAACCCTCGTACAGGAAGATTCGAAGAGGCAGTGATAACAAACTTGAATGCTGGATACAGTGACGTCACCTTCACCACAAGCATGCTGAAGGAAAGGGTATCTTCCTCATCGCTCAGAAACAAAAGCTCTAAAAGAACGCTTCGTGAGTTTTTCCTTGAATTTTTTGTCAATTTCATTTTTGCTGAGTTATTGCTGCATCATATTGTCAAAGAACCTAGTAAACAATCTCTGACAGATGACCTTACATTAAATTTTGTTTTGCATTTGTTGTTCTTCGAGACGAGAAGAACATCTATCGCAAAAGTAGCCACTGCAGATATCTTTTTTTGACCTATAAGTATATTTATTATTCTCACAAATGTTTATGCCCTTGTTGAAATAAAGTCAGTCTTACGTTATTAGTATTTCTCGTTAATATTTGTTGCTCTTTAGATCAACATAAATGTCCTAAGCATCAAATGCCAGATTACCACAAAGAAGATGACGAATTTTGGTTTCCAGGCCTTGCATCTCCGTTTTTCCCTCCATCTTTCATTCCCCAGGTTTGTCAACACTGTTTCACAAATACTATACATGAAACAAACACCTACTCCAGTTTGTAAATAATTTATGAAGAGTCACTCACAAATACCCTGTTTACATTTGTCAAAACCAGACGATCAGGTCTCTATGAATTATTTAAAGGCAAATTCGCCATGAATTTTAAAATGCGCGGAAGGTGTGTGCTAAAAGATGAAACCTCCCGCCCAAATAATTAAAACCATTAAGATAAACGCGTATATGACTCTCAGTCAATTTGCGTGAAAACTTAAGTTGAGTTTTAGGTGCCTATATACAGTATGATGACGCATTACCCACAAAACTGAAAACACTTATTCGAAAAGCCATATGTGATATTCTGATTGCTTTAACAGCATGTTCAGACACAGCCGTGCGATTTTGATTCCTTGCTTCATTTCCTTTTAATTTGCAAAGCAAAAAACATCAACATGCTTTCATGGCATTGAGCTGCAACCTAATCGCTACATTGTGCCCTCGTTGTTGTATCCCCATTGTAGTATTAGGAACAAAACAAAGCCAGAACATGTAAACTACAAAAGGGCCTTTTTGTGTCCTGCCATTCTCTAGAAGTGAAACTAGCGCCAAATCAATGAAATCGACAAACATGACAGAATATGTGTTTTTCACGTTTGTTTGCATGAAATAACCTCTATATTTAGATAGCAATTTTTATGCAATAGTTGTTGTCAAGATTTTTAGTATTGATAATCGATATCAAAAAGGAATTGCTGTCATGAAGTGTAATTCTGCAAATTCATCTTATGCCCAATTTGCATATGTGTCTTTCTTACAAATATTTTGCTCTGTGTTCCAAGCAAATGTAAGATCGTCATTCTCATCAGTCTTAGAAACTGAAGTTCTTTCTCTGCCGAATTTTTTCTCTGCCAAAATCTGGATCTGCAAAATCTTGTTTGTACAGTCATTTTTTAGCGACTGCTGATGGGTGTGGAAGTATCATATTTTTCCTGTCAGTAGTGCAGATATTGCCTTTTCTTCTGCTGCTTTTTATTTTAAAATTTATTTTAAATGTCGCAAGCAACTAGCATTTATAACTTCAGTCTCAATTGGTTCTTTTTAATAAGCCTCGAGTGTGACTGATAATACTTCATTTCAAGTTGTTGCTTCATCCCGGTCTCTGCTGTGTAACTTGCGAGTATATATTTAAGAACACGAACATCGAACATTGAGAATAGAGTTTTTGTTTCTTAAAAGCCAGTACAACTGCGAAGATTAGCTAAAAATGCGTTTGAAAACGAAGGAAAATGAAGTTTAGCTGTTAATTTTTTTGTTTTCCAAACAGAGAAGGAGCAGATGGATTTTGATCAGTTTTTCACTTTCGTAGCAAAGGATTTTTGCAAAATATATGATCAAAATTATATAAGTAAGCTTGCGGGGGATTTTTTGCTAAGTTTAATATCCAATTAAAGTAGCCACCGGTTTACCGTGAGATGCAAAAGTTAAGGAAAAACTTTTCATATGATCGTCGAGTGGTGTTTGCGTTTTCTCTACAGGTTAACATATGATTCTTCTTTTCCCTTACAAATTGCTCTGTTTTTTGTATTTAACTACTTTTTAAAGTCCCTTTCAAAGTTTCTTTTCTCGGGAATCTACTGTCCCTTTTCCTTTACAAGTATTAAGAACCTAAAAACCCACCACAAACCCCTCAGTTTTCCACTGCTGAGCCGAAATACTATCTTTCATTTATATTTATAGAGATCTATATTTTATTAGATAAAACCAGTCAAAACCAGTTGATTGGCCTATTTCGATCCACAACTGGTTATATATATATTTCCTAGCGTAGAGTTTTCGATCTATGTTCTGACGTTTTAAACTCTGAAGAGTGTCAGACGAAAAGCTTTAGTTTACTAAATGTTTGCTTTTTTCAAAGCCATTCAAAACCAGTTGTAAGCTCAACTAATGTCCTATAAACGAATTTCATAAAATTCAAATATTTTAAACCTGCAGTTTTTCCAGACAAAGCGTAAAATGCATGCAAGAAATTATTTCACGATTTTCTACCATATCTGCCTATCTTGATATTGCCATGAAGGTGACCAATTTGACTTCTTTTAGATGCCCCTGTTTCCGCATCCACCATTCTCTCCGTGGCAAGGGTATGGACTGCAAAATTCTTATGGAAACATGCCGAAAATAAGACGCGTAAGTACGCAAAAGTTCGCTTCAGTGCTTCTCTTAAACCCTGCTCAAACGCTCCTAAAATTTCACGGAAAAAAGTCAAATTTGACTGCCAATAAGATATCAGTATTAGAGCTTTAAAATACCTTTTCAAAAGTGGTTCAAAATATCTAGTGATCTCGATCAAAATATTTTAGTTATTCAGGATGTTGCCTTTAAACAGCCTAGTTTACAAATATACAGCTAGAACATCTATGAACAGTGGAGGATCGCGTAGAAACCGTAACTAATTCTGCTAGCAAACCACTGATTGATCTTGCTGAATAAAGTCTCACCTGCTTATAAAGTCGATTTATAGTCCTAATATATGCCGATTTTTAGTCCTGATAACCGCATTGTCCATGGTAAAAAGATTCATGCACTGAATTTTAGACACTTTTACTCTACAAGCGTTTTTTTTATATAAATGTTTTTCTTTAAAAGTGGACAAATTTTAATGTTTGTAAGTAGCTACAAGGCGAGGATCTGGAAAGTGGTTCATCCTAAGTCTTGAGTCACGAAAAGGAAGTGTTTTTCTTGAATTGTGATCCACATTCAGAGAATATATAAACATAATATTGCTGCCAGCAATTGTTTCATACAGAAACAAGGTGATTTTGTTTATATTTGCTTATGTATAATTTCAGTTTTGATGTTTTCTGCTTTTTTTATCGTAGGCGGAACATGGGCTGCCCCCTCCCCCGCCACCCCCTCCAGCTGGTCTGCCAATAAATGCCGAAAATGTAAGTGATGACGCATTAGCAAGCATGTTGATGTCATGGTATATGGTTGGTTATCATACAGGATATTACCAGGTTGGTGTTTATTGTTGTTTCATTTTTGTTTACGCTGATCGCCATAGCAGATGTAAAAAAACCTACACTCTTCCATCAAGGGTACCTAGCTTCATCTTTAGTTTTGCAATCTTAAAATGTGGTACTTTTGCTGAAATCTTTTTTACGATCTAGAAAACTAACTTCTAAATGGTCAGCAATGAAATCGTCAGAAGTAGAAAGAAGATATTAGCTGTCTGTATATATTGAAGATTTTTCCTCTATAGAGAGAGCGTGTTGCCTCCTTACTAAATCGTATCTTCAAACCCAATCGCAACTCCTTAAGTACACAAGTCATGACAATGCAGCCAAAACATTTTTTATAAAAGTAACAGTTTCAAAAAGGTTTTCGTGAGTGTTTATTCAGAGTTGCTTAAAATGATGGATTATTCCTTGCTTTTTGCGAACTCTTATTGTTTCTTTTAGTACTAAACTCCTAAATTGATACTCACTTCCATTGTTGGACACATTGCATTGCAAAACCTGATGCCCTCTAGGCACGACAGGCTTTTCTTCATTAGTCGAAAATCTGACTGAGAAAAATTTCAAAGCAAACTTTATTGCTTTATTGCTAAAAAACTTCCTCATTTTTGCTAGTTTTGTTTTCACATATCCGTATCTGCAGGCAACATGTTTTTTATAATAAAACCAGCTTCAATTCTGCAGGGTCTCAAACAAGGTAATTCTGGCCAACCATCTCCTAAACATTCGGATAATATTGATCCAGTCGAAACACAGTCAACTTCAAGCTCAAAGCCTGAACTTTAGCTAAGCTCTTGCAACGTGGGCCTACCAACAATGCTCGGGGACGTAGCATCGATTGTCACAAGCAAACGCATTTCTTTTTCCTTGGATAAATTGTCCATATGTTCAAGTTAATTGTTTAGTACATTTTACATATTTGACTTTTAACGGTCAACTGACCTCACCCTCTTTTGTTATGTCGTGACAATGATTGTTTTTGTGTTCATCCTTCTCTTCCTGCCTGTTGCATTTTAAATAAACTTAATGTTATTATTTTACTGCCAAATGTAGTTGGCTCTTTTGCTTGCCTTTTCATAAAGCGTTCACATCTTCTTAGAAATTAACTGAAAATCTAAGCCTTTTAGTTGTTGTTTGGACTTTGCTATACAGGGCAATAAAAATTAACAAGGATTCGATTAGAAAAAACTGTACACAATTGTGTAAACGCAGCATAAACTTGAATGCGAATAAAGTTTGCAAAGCTTTTTCGTTCCCGTGCACCTTTTATGACGTCAACCAAGCCACGTGGTCATATCATGTTTTGTTCCGTATGTATAGTATATCCAGAACTCGATTAGGGATTTTTAGGCCATTGACCGAAAATCTCACTGAGATTCTTGCATCAACAGTGTGCAGGCAGGGGACAAATGCTACTTTATGATCTTCAACTCTGTCAGTACACTCTTTTTTTATAAGAACCAGTAAATTTAAGTTCAGGCTTACTGTTCTTAATTTTTTCGAAAATCTGAGGCTGGATTGTTCTTAATTTGTTCATAATCTAATAGGGTATAAGCAGTGCGAGTGTTAGCTTTTTCGCTCTAGGGAGGTGTTCAGGCCTCATTTGCCAACAAAGTGAGTAAGACAACCTTTATTTGCCGAAAAGTTTGAATATTCGACGGAAAAGCACCCACTCATCGCTAAAAATCCTCTATTTTGAGAAAAAACGTTGTTCAAAATTGCATTTTGCAGAAACTCAGCCTCAGCTTGTTCTTAATTTGTTCTTAACTTTTGACCAATTTTGAGGCTCGTGTTCTTAAAAAATTGTTCTTATAAAAAGAAAAGAGTGTATTTGGAGTAAACTTTTTACTAATTTGTCTGTGTAAGATATGTTTATATATGTAGAGAATTTGTCTGGAAATTTCTTTATATTTTTTTAACAACAGGATATTTTTGTCTTTTATGGAGTTTTTGTTAAAAAGAAACCTAAATACCGTTGAAATAAGTGTGGCGCTTCCTTGGTTTTTAGAATATATCTCCTATGACAAATGCTCTTCTTTTGAATTCTCTATTTCTTGTTGTTGCAAAACCATGCCTTCTCTTCATGTCCACACCTGCTTTCGTCATCTCATTTGAAATGCATAGTTTTTATGAACCTTGTATGAAAAATTGGATCAAGTGATTTCAACATTTCTTTCTGCATGTGGAATTACAATCGAATAGAAACGCTGATTATAAAAAACCCGCTTTATGTAAATTTTCCTTAATGCAAAAATATATTTTTGTACAATTTTGGACGAGGTTTATGTATATATGTAGCATGATTTTAAGAAAAAACAACAGGTGAAGGCTGCAAAAGCATCTGTAGAAAATTTTGAAAATATGAATTGGCTATAGGGTACTTGTAGAAGGCAAAGGAAGGTCAGGCCCGGATCTAGACCTGGTTGGCAGGTTTCAAAAAACCGGTCAGATTTCTAGAAATTATTTATTTCATGTTTTAGCAAATATAGGGAGAAGAATGTTTATAAATATGATTATTATTATTATTACCTCCCTTAACCTTAGCAATATTAATCGTTATCATTTTAGATGTTTCATCGCTCCACAATTTGCATTTTTCAGTTATTCGCCATTTACCAACAAAATAACATCTAGATTGCACAAACAATGTGACTTTTTGTGAAGCAATCAAGTTATTGACGGTGCTGTTTGTGTCACAGCGCTCGCCCTTAATGATGCCGATCAGCTTCGCCAAAGGTATCTTTGAAATTCAAAAGAGTTTCAAGGTTGCGTAATATAAGAAACTCTTAACCAGGTCATCCAATCATTCAAACTATTTTTAGCCTTCAACTCGGTCAAAAACAGCTCAAGATTGCGAAATACACCGGTTTCTGAACGGGTTGCGCGTAGTATATCTGGAATCAATGGAATCAAATGTTCAATCTTTGCATTTGAGTTAAGTCGATAGAGTATGGGAAAAGGGAAAGAGAAATTTTCAAGAAAAATAATGAATGAAGCAACAGATGCAAAAATCAAAGAAAAGTTGTTGAAGACTAAAAGAGACCAAGAAGGGCAAAGAGCCAAAGAAACAGAAATATGAACAGAAAATAATTTTTTAGTTCTCTATCTTGGAGGGGCTGATTTTTTTATCAATAAATTTCTATCATTAAATAAATTTTCCAAAAGTTACCAGTTACCTAAACCATGAGATATATCTGTCGAAAACGTTCGTTTTTTGTGAATAGATATAGCTTACTCTGAGCTCTGAACTTAAAAAAAGGGGGACTGAGCCTCCAGAGCCTCTTCAAGACACCCCTGAAATCCCTTTGTTGGCACTTGCTTTCAAAATCTGCTATACAAAATTTGCTGATTGATATAAGACGGTCGCAATGGAAATCTTATCATAGCGGAGAGAGGAGGGTAGATATTTTCGGGGACTAAGAGACCTGGATGTACTGGACTATCCCAGGGCAAAATATGTTTCCTAATAAAATGCCTTGAAATATAACCCGTTCATCAAATTCTCTGGATCCGCGCCCGAACGTTTCATGGTGAAAATCTTACAAGGGGAAACACTGTAATATAGGAATGGAATGCTACATGATGTTGCATGATGCTAAATGGTCTTGAATCGTAAACACAGGGAATTTGAGACAAAGGAAAATGGGCATCATCAAACGGGAAAGGAACAAACTGGGAACAAACTACAAGTATGGAAGCGGAGCGATGTATAGCTAGGCTTAAAGCGTAAATGCCCTAATGCCATAAGATTGCATTTTCTTCCATTTGACTCGCTTCTTCAACATCTTTCTTTTTCTTACATCAGAGATCAGATATGCCTCAGAAAAAGTGCTCGTACAGTATTGTAGCATTATTACAATATCCAACAAATCTGTTATCAACAACTATTTTATGTTAAGGTTCTTTTTAATTTTTTGGCTATTATCGATATATTGTCGATGATTGATACCAAACTTTTGAATTCTATAGCAACCCTAGATTACAAGAGAACAACGTGTATCTTTTTGTGGGAATGTTGTCAAACTTCTTCAGTGAAAATGATTAACGTCAAATAGGGTTGGGGCGATGATGACTCAGAGGTTAGAGTGGTAGACTACAAATCCAAGGGTCTGGGTTCGAGTCCCTGGCATAAGCAAACGTTCATCCAGAGTGAGTGGAGTCGTCAGCTCTCTGCAATTCCAGGCGACGAATCATGAGATTTGGTCACATCGAGAGGAAGAACCAGAACACAGTTCGATAAAAATAGCTTCTCAGTTACTCACTAGCTAATCCCTAAAAAATACAAAAGTACAAATAGCAGCAGAAGATTTTAAATGTGAACAATTTTTTGGCGGTACAGAACTTGAAAATGGCTTTTTCAAGTTCTGTACCGCCAAAAATTTCATAAAATATTGGCTAAAAGCTTTATCGTCGGTTTATCGTATATTTACCGTATCAAGATGTTTATAAAGAACAAATATCAGAATACAGTGTCTCGGCGAGAATTTACTCTCGTTGACATTGTAATTGACCGTGGATTAAGGACTAAGGGCTGATTCGTTTTTAATTACAGTAAAAGCTCTGTTAAGCCCCGTTGGGGCTTATTTATTTTATTTGAGAGGGAGGCTTATTTGAAAGGGTGGCTTGGTAATCATTCAAAATAAAACATATTATCAAAATGCAACAATGCTCTGGGATTTCTTCGATAGAATCAACATCAGTACCCTTTTAATTTCTAAGGCGTACAAGGAAATCTTTACACCGGCATTATTTAATGCACATGATCTTATCATCATCACACCCGTCAAGAGACCCACTTAATGAGCCTATTTTATTTGTTTGACTTTAGGGGCTAAAGAGGGGTCTTGATAAAGAGGGGGGCTTATTTTAAATTTTGGCATGGTATTTGGGCTTAATAGAGAGGGGCTTAACAGAGCTTTTACAGTGAATTTCAATGATTTACAGAGTTCATGATCATTTGAGCTAATACACGATGACCTTCGCAGATTTATTATGATTCATGATGATTTTCGATCACTCAAGATGATTCACGATTCTTAACACTGCTTCATGGTGATTAATGCTGGTACACAACCATTTCAATTCATTCACAATGGTTCATGATTATGCAGAGTATCGCACACCTAAAAGAGTTTATTGTTTCATTCGAAGTTTTATAGTTCGAAAATGTGGCTTGTGGTCACTCTAGAAAGATTCTGAAGGTGAACATTTTAACTGCGTCACAGATTCTGGAAGTTTCTTTACGACTGCATCTATCTAGCCACTGTTCCATTGAAAAAACAGCTAATTGCAATCTAACCAATGATGAGAAACATTGAGATTGTCAGGGATATAAGGCATCTTTGTTAATAATTGAAAATTTCATCGAATAGAAAACCATTATCCTCACAATAGCTGTTTCTTTCAAATTTGCAAAATTGTCTTGCTAATGACGTTGAGTTGAGTCAACCTCATTTCGAAGCCGCAAGCAATACAAGCGGCACGCTAATAAGAAGAAAATGGGAATTCCTCGCTGGGCATTATGAAACTGCAACAGCATAACCCCCAGTATCATAACTAAACAACGTGTTGTTCGGCTGTAGCCAAAGGGTCCACCCAATTCATCAACTCGTTCTGGCGAATCTGTGCCAACTTCCATTCTGGCACGGCCAAAATAAAAATTTGCAAAATTGACGCCGCAAGCAATAGAAAGCGGGACACTAATAAGAGGAAAATGGGAATTCTTTGCGTGGCATACTGTTACAGAAATCACAGAGATCGGTTACTTACTTACTTACTTACTTACTTACTTACTTACTTACTTACTTACTTACTTACTTACTTACTTACTTACTTACTTACTTACTTACTTACTTACTTACTTACTTACTTACTTACTTCCTTGCTGAAGCAGAAGCAGGCGTGGAAGCAGAAGCAAGTGGTGTTTGAACACCCACGAAGCAAGTGAGGCAACCATTAAGCATGAAGCATGCGTTGAAGCAAGAATATCAAAACTATTTGATAATCTTGCTTCACTGCTGCGTCTGCTTCACCTTTGCGTCATGCTTGCTTAATAAATTTTGT